TATGAAGGTCACCTGTGCTTGAAGCTGTGCTTGCTTACAGAAACAGAGACTGGATGTCAGTAACCACCATGCTATAAGATGGGAAACGAATTTAGAAGCGCTCCCCTAACCTGAATCGTTGCTAATTACCATACCTAAATCTTTGCCCTGGGGAGAAATGCAGCTTGCTAGGTACATGTAGTGTTGGCGTGCACAGGAAATACAAGACTGCCGCACTCAGCGCTTTCTGGAAAGCCCCACCTCTTTCCAGGAATCCTTGCTCTCCAACTATGTGCCCTGAAAGACCTTAAGAAGCACCCCCACACTACACCCCAGGCACTTTGAGCAGGAGCTCCCCTACTCCATCCCTTGATCAGTGAATAGGTTCTGCTCTACTTAACGGAACCTGGTCTCGTTCTATGGGCGTGAACGGCACTGGGCAGGGATAGGACCCACCAGGGTCAAACGACCCTCTTGAGATTCAGGAAAACCCAGACGATCTCCAAATATCTTTTCAGGAGTAAAACTCTTGGTCTTTGAAGCTGAGGGGCGGGGAAGGGAATTACCACACTGGCGGCTGCCCAGTTCCCCATCCAAAACCTCCTTGACTTTGGGCTGAGGTCCTAATGCCTATTGCTTTTGTCAGCCATCCCCCTAAGAGAACTCCCGGTCCGACCCAGAAAAAGAAAAACCACTCACAGAACCGGAGAGTCTGTCCACACAGTGCACGTGCCAGTCAGCGCCCACCGCTCTGGATTCGCAGGTGCCGGAAAGGCTGCTCTTTTGTAGCTCTCAGCTGAACTTTTCCCGCCTAGAAGGGCGCGCCGGCGCGCGGCAGGAGCCTGGGAATTGACACTCTCACTGGCCAATGGACGAAGAGTCTCTGAAGGCTGTTTTTCTCTCATTGGATGTAAATGACTCATCTCTGGCCTAGGGACGGCGCGCCAACCCGCCCACCCTCCCTATTTGTCTGGATGACCCACGCGGGTCTTAGTGATCCCTTCCCCCTCACCACTGAGTCCAAGGCCAGCTCCCGCCTCCCAGGATAAACTAAGCAATCACTGCCCTGCTCCTTCCCGCTCATAGGCGTCCCCTGTCTCCCAGTGGAGGCCAAGGAGAAACTGCGCAGCAGCTGGGCGGAGTGGGAGGCGCCTGGCGGTTCAGCGCTTTCCGACTTTTGATTGCGAGCGGGAGCAGCGCGCTGGCGGGAGCTGCAGGGCGAATAACCCGCCAAGTTGCTTCGGTGTGTGGTAGTTGCTGCCGTTCTGCAGCTGCGAGGTGGGCGACGATGGCGGGACGAGCATCCAGGCGGGATCCGCTGACCGCAGCAGAGAGAGCTCCACCCGTATGATGCAGAGACCCAGTCTCAGAGCAGGCTGCACCCGCGTCTGCGTGAAGTCTACAGATACCTGGCCTGCTCTGCAAATGAACTAACTTCGCAGAGGGGCTGGCGAACACAGACGGTGCCAGCCTGGACGAGGAAGCGGCCAGCACTGCTTAGGCCGGGTTCTCAGGACGCGCATTACTGAGTGAGGTACTTTACCCTTCGAATGAAGACTCCAGAGTTCGGCCTCCCCAAACTGATATCAAAGAAGTGCTTTGCATGGGGCTTGAGAAACATGTTACTGTTTAAGAAAAGAACGTCTTACTGTCTGAGACCCTGAATAGAGAGAGATGCCTTTAAGTATTGGGTGTTATTTTTGAGAAGTTGGTCAAAGAAGGGGAGAAGATGGTTGATTAAGTGGGAGTGGTGACCATTATTTTGTAATTCATAGAAGGACAGATGTTTATGTAAAAGTTGATAGTTTTGGTGGAATAATCATGAACATGTTTCTGAACTTAATGTAAAATATACAGAGACCTCTAAAATCACTGCTTAAATTACACGGGTCTTGTGGTTTTCAGAAAGAGCAAACTTTAGAAGTATAATTGTAAAAATAATGTCATACAGACAAAGAGAAGAGAAAACTTAATGACAGCTTTCTCAAATCGCTGTTATTCCTGAATCATCTGAAAGCAGTACATGTGACTGGCACCAATATACGTCAGCAAGTAAATCGTTGCAAAAGGATTGATCTTCTTTTTTGTAGAATCTGGAGGAAAAAAAATCTATGAAAAGCAAGAAGTGGTAGAGAATGATGTTGTCGAAATTGCCTGACATCATTGGAGATAGAGAATTTACCCTGGAAAAAGGCGCTCCTTAGGGAGGAGCATCTGCACATTCCATTAGCATAAAGCACCTGGTCGGCCATATGAAGAAGTCTGGATTTTGTCATAAATGTGAAATTTATTTTAAATGGAGGATTTGAAGCAAGGGAGTAATATACCCTGACATATTTTTAAAAATCACCCAAGCAGCTGTGCAGGGTACAAACTCTGAGAGGACAAGAAGAGATGTGGAAGGGAGAAGGCAGCTAAGAGTCTATCCCAGGATGGCAAAGATGTTGGAGCCGGCCTCAGATGGTAATGGTGGAAGTGTTAGAAATGGCTGGATTCCACATTTATTTTGAAGGGCCAGACCATGGAATTTGCTTATGGATGTTCCATAAATAAGAGAAACAGAGGACTCAGTGATGATTCCTGGGCTTTTGACTTGAGCAACTAGAAGTACAAAGTCTCCATTAACTGATATGGGGAAGTCTGAGGAAGGAGATGCTGTGTGTGCCAGGACTGGGGTGTGTGTGTGTGTAATTCTTCTTTTGACATGTTGAATTGGAGATGCTAATCCACTCCAACTGAAAAATAAGGAGGGAAGTGGACATTCAACACATGATGTTGCAACCTCCACCTCCTGTATTCAAGCAATTCTCATACCTCAGACTTCTGAGCAGCTGGGATTACAGATGCCTGCCACCATGCCTAGCTAAGTTTTGTTGTTCTAGTAGAGATGGGGTTTCACCATGTTGGCCAGGCTGGGGTCGAACTCCTGACCTCACGTGCTTTGCCTACCTCAGCCTCCCAAAGTACTGGGATTACAGAGGTAAGCTACCGCGCCTGGCCTGAGAAATATAATTAAAGTACAGGGAAAGTTAAAAGGGAGAAGAAAGTTCACAGATATCACAGCAAACGATATATACAAAAGCCTGCCTTGTTTCCTAGAGCCCCTGTGTCTTAGGTGCCCTGAATTTTACCTCCCAGCGGACCACTCTTGTCCCTTCATAATGGCACTCCAGGCAGCACCGCTGCACACCAATTCCGAAGCTACCCTGCTTCTTGAGTTTAGGAAAAGTTATGCTTCTACTTCCTCTTTATTTGCTTATCACTGGAGTAGCAACTGAACCACGCAATTGGGATAAGTAACCTGATGCCATTTTGGGGAGCAATCTTTCATTTCTTCCTTACATATACAACTGACCCTCACAGAGAAACTGTCTAGAGCAATAGGTCCAGAGTAGAGCTTTAGCTTTGCTTTTCACTTTGCAGCTGTGCTCTGTTGGGCCACCAAGGAAAACTCACTTTCAGCTAATGCTTATATGGGGCTATGGAAGTTGTCTAACATCCCTGGGGACAGAGTGTTTGCCCTGAAAAGGAACATTCCCTTGGCACAGAGCATCGTGTTGGCTGGATTTTAATATAAATATGACAAAAATACTTTTGGCCAAGTAACTAGTGGTTGGGTCATTTTGTGGTTTGCAAACCCATAAAGAGGAAAAGGCCTCTCACGTGGTTGGGAGAGGTGGGAATGGATCAAGCACTAAGGTTAGGTCTGGTGAAGTTAGGGAATAAGGCCAGTGTTTACGAAGAGTGATTCCTTCATGAGCCCCTGAAAGATGCTATTGAACCCTAACAACATTCTGGGAATACAGAGGAAGGCCCCTCTGCCTCTACCTTGAGAGCATATCACAGAGAAATATTTATATTTGGACTAGATTGATGAGAGCTGAGTAGGAGTTTGATAGAACAGGGAACTGTCTGAATGTACAATGGCAGAAGTGGCAGGAAAGGCTGAGGAGAATTGTCCTCTGGGAGTGGGTTAGAGATATGGGCCTGGGCACCACATTCTGGAGCTTGCAATGGGGTATGTAAAAGCTTAGTTGGGATGGTCTTTTCCTGTCCTGTGACTTCGTAGTGGGCTCACCTCACTCACTGTTGCAAACAAGCTGCCCCCATTTGAGAGAGAGCTGGCGTGGGGTCTCTAAGCCTCCAGCAACCACTTAGGAGCCAGCCTTGAAGCCCTGGCAGCTAACTCTTCCCATGGAGACCCCATAGTCCATTCTGTCTTGGGAAGACAACACAAGCTTGCTGAAGGTAACATTCCCCCTCCAGACTCCAGAGGCTCCAAGGAGACTCGCTATCTTCAAGAAAAGAAATATTCACTGAGCCGGGGATGGAGGTGAACATGGTTTGGGACTAACATGCGGCTGGATGGTTTCACCTCCATGGTCATACAATGGTACTGGGAGATGAATGGGGTAGGGCGGTCAAGATTTAGTTCAACATCAACTTCCGGTGGGGCGGTGATTGGTAGTTGACTCATTTTGGCCCCATTTGATATTCGCAGTCACCAGTTGGGGTAGGTGTGACTGTTGCTCCCATTTCACAGATGAGGACAGGATAGTTTGCTAGAGGTCACAGGACTAGTTGGGGAAGGGAAAGGGTGTCAGGTAGGATTTTAACCTTAGAACCTCACGTTTTCTTAGGATCTTTCAGGGAGACCTTGGGGAAATTCCTTTCTGTCTTGGTGGGGGGGGGGGGGTGTCTCCATTCCTTATTTGTAAATTAAGGAGTTCTTCCAGTTTGTGATTCTCTGTACTTTAACGTTTAAACGTATCACTTGGATAGGTTTTTAAAAATAAGGATTCTGGGAACCCCAATATGTTTAAGTAGAGTAGGTCTGGGGTGAGGCCCAGGAATCTGCAGCTTTTAACTAACCCGGGCATCAACAAAACTGGCTGAGAAGCTCAGGCAAAGTTTATGATGTGTGAAAATCTTATTGTGAGCTGTCCAAAACATAACGCTGAGCTCCATCTGCAGAGATCCTGTTTTGATATGCTTGGTTGGACTGTGTCTTGGTAATTTGCATTTCTTAGAAGTGAGGCCAGTCAGCTGGTCAACCACCCCGCCTGTCGCTCTGTGACTGTCCCCGATCGTCCGCGGTGCTTCTTTACTTGCATCTTGTGGGAATGACATCTGCGCAGGCAGCCCCTTTTTAAGCATTGCCACGGGCACGTTAGCCTAGCCCTTAAAATCCCAGCCCAGCCCTGGATTTGCAGATACTCAGGGCAGGGCAAGGCGCCTTTCCGCGTTTGGTGTAGTCCCGCATGCTGCCATAAGATGGCACCAGAGAACGCGCCTACCGGGATAGGGCAGGGCAAGGAGGCGGGGAAGAAAAAAAAGCGACGAGTGAAGATTGACATCCATTAAGTTCAATCTTTGGTTCTCTGACTCCCAAGCTTCCCATTCTCTTAGGAGGCTGCATTTGTGGCGCTAAAAGAAGGGATGGGCGTGGGAGATGCCGAGACATGTGCTCGCTGAAGATACACCTGTTAGTCCAAGGTAACTCCCGCTCGTAGTGGCTCCACCCTCTTTGTTAATTCCCCTTCCTCTCAGTTAACTAGGGCTGCTTCACCTGTCTCTAGGCAAACCTACTCCCCATCGCGCTGGGTGTTTTGGAGTTTTTAAAAGCGTCACGGGGTAAAGTCAGCTCTGTGCTTTTCCTTTTCTCAGCAGGTAAGAATTTCTGGCGCTGACAGCGGGGAGCTGCAGGGCGGGAGTGGGGTGAAGAGAGAATAGGGTGAGAGATAACAGGTGTGAAGCGTCCCTCAGTGCCAGGCATCGTGCTTTGGCACCTTTCATAAGTTTGTCCCAATCATCTTTCTATTTAATTCATTTTCTGTTCACAGATTAGGAAACCTCAACTAAGTGGCCCAAGGACACTTCTTGGATAATTTTAGCTTCTGTCAGACGCCAAAGCCTAAGGTCTTTTATTTTGCAGAGGCTGCTTTGGCAGGATTTCAATGCGCGCAGGTCCTGCCAATCACTGCTTCTCACTCACTGATCCATCCCGCTGTCCACGCATTCATTCACCCCTTCATTTCTTAGGTGCTCATCTGCAAGGCGTGGGGCTAGTTGCTACTAAAAATACAAAAGAAAAGGGACTCTGATGTCAAGTAGAAGAGATTTTTTGAAAAGGTTTACACAGAATTGCGGTGCTCAGCATGGTTTCGACCTTTCCCCCCAACATGCTACTGATTCCTATTATGTTCCACATAATACGATGGATTCTGAAGATACAGAGATGGGTGAGATCTATCCTTGCCTTTCAGGAGCTCGTTGTCATAGGCAAGAGTAATCTCTGAGGTTTAATTTTACATACCTACTTTTTAACAAATTGAGCAACTATGTATATTCTACTGTAATTAATATAAGTAATTAAATATTACACACAATTTCTTATTTTTTAGTTGAAGATGAATCTACATGGTGGTGCAAGTATGTCCTTTGTTCACCCTAGTGGACCATCGTGGGAGCTTCGTGGAGTGCTTCCTCAGACTGCAACTCTACCCCCCTGGTATGTGCTTGTCTCTATTCCTTCTTTCTGTAGCTTGCTGTCAAATGCCAGGCTTTTAGGGAGACCGGTCCTGACCGCTTCCTGTTTTCTCTCCTTTTTACCTGCTCCTATCTGAGGCCTCTTTTCTTGTTTCTTTGTTGTTCTTTCTCCTTCCATCATCCTCTGTGGTCATATTATGTGTTGTTTTTCATATACTACATCTGAGTTTATAGGAAATATGTTTACTGCTTTTTAAAATTTTTTGTTTAGTTTCTGCCTCCCTGCTCCAGAATGTAAGCTTCAAGAGGGGCAGTGAGGAGTTCTTAACACACATCCCTGACCGAGAAATGGTCCAGGATGGAGCGAGACGCAGCTTTGCCCGGTACATCCTGAAATCCCCTGAGGTGGGGGTGGGAGTGGAGGGAAGATCAGGGAATGTCCATTCATTTTATGAAGCTGAAGTTGGGTTAGGTCCTATTATATACTGTGATGTTGGTTGTTAATCTCAACCTGAAACCCTCATCACTAGTCATTCACTTTTTACTAGCTTTGTGACCTTGAGTGAAGGTTCAAGTTTACCTTGTTTCTTTGCACCTCAGTTTCCTTATGTATAAAGCAGAAAAAATGAAATTTGGTCATCCTAAAATGTGAGGTCATAGGGAATCAGTCCCTTGAGGGCAAAAGACAAACATTTGTGGATTTATAAGGCTGCAGAAATGATATTCTTCTGGGGGTCAAAGAAAGATACTTGTGGATTTGAGAGTCTTCAGATATTATATCAGTAGCATATTTACATGCAGAAAATACTGAATAAACAATTTTAACTAATCAAATAGGCACAGAGATCTCAGATAGGAGCAGATAATAAGTTGAGGAAACAGTGGTGAGCAAAAAAAATCTGACAAATTTTCTGTAGAGGCTTAACTCTAAATGGACAACGATAGGCTCTCTGGGAATGTGTAATAAAAGTTTTAAAGAAGGATTCTTTAAATAGTTGTGACACACTGCAAGGGAAATTCTATGACACCTGGAACTAAAACACTCAGGGATTGGGTTCAGGGGGATGAGGGGTAGAGGAATAAAAGCATTTTGTATCACTTAGCACACTCATCTTAATGGGAGGAGGGAGCAAAACAGGGAAATGATTTTTTTTTTTTTTTTCCATGCTGAACATAGAATTTTATATATTCTTTTTTTCACATAGCATTACATCATGAGCTTTATCCCATGTCATTTAAAAATCCTTCACAAGCATGACATTTAATAAATGCCTAATAGTCTCTCATATGGACAAACCATAGTTTAACCACTTCCACATTGTGGTGGATGTTTTTAAAGAATCTAATTTTTCAACATTATTAGTATTGTAGTAATGAGCATCTTACAAATAAACTTGTATTTATATTTCTTATTGTTTTATTAAAATACATTGCTAGAAATGAAATTATTAAGGAAAAGGTTCCAAACACTTTTAAGATTCTCCCATTTTAAGCAGCTTTTTCGAGATTTTTCTCTATTCTTACTTGTTTACACTCCCAGATGCACTTCATTTAAAATTTTATTCTAGAGAACAATTCTTTAGAATTTTTATTGGGATTACATTAAAATCATAAATTAAAATGGAAAGAATTGACATTTTTATAATTTTTAGGAACTTGATATGTATATCCATTTGTCCAAGTATTCTTTCATATCTCTCAATAAACTTTTATAGCTTTTTCATATTGTTCCTGCATATTCATTGTATTTAAAAAATTTTGTTGCTATTGTAAATACAATCATCCTGTCATTGTATTGTTTAATCAGAGATTGCTGGAATATAAGAAAAATGGTTACTAATTTCAGAGATATGATAAATATCTCTGATCAGCCAATATGTTAAACTATCCTATTATTTACAACAAGCTTATAGTTGGTGGGGGAGGTTTGAGTGTGTGTGTGTAAGGAAGGTATATAATCATACCAGCTAAAAATACTGTATTTTGCCTTTTCCTTTCCAGTAATAAAACCTCCTTTCTTAGGGTTCTTGTCTCTTCTATTGCCCACAGCTTTCAAAAAGTTAACTACCCGGCCAGGTGTGGTGCTTCACACCTGTAATCCCAGCACTTTGGGAGGGAGAGGCGGGAAGATCGCTTGAGCTCAAGAGTTTGAGACCAGCCTGGGCAACATAGTGAGACCTTGTCTCTACTAAAAATTCAAGAAAAATTAGTCGAATGTGGTGGTGTGCCTGTAGTCTTAGCTATTTGGGGGAGCTAAGGCGGGAGGATTGCTTGAGCTCAGGAGGTGAGGATTGCTTGAGCTGCAGTGAGCCCTGTTTGTGCCATTGCACTCAGCCTGAACAGGAGTGAGATCCCGTCTCCAAAAACATGATTCTAACAAAAATAACAAAAAGTTACCTTGTAAAGGTCATAGATGGCATTTTTGACTTGTTCTCAAGAGGAATAAGAAAAACCTTTTACATATTACACCAGTAAATATAATGTTGGTTACTAAGTAATACGTATTTATATATGTCTACTGGAATAGACATATATAAATACGTATGCCTCAGGAGGTTACACAGATAACAAGAATAAATGGAATGGGCCAGCTACAAGACAATAGAGCTTGGTGGAGACTGACAAACTGGACAGTGCTCCTTCTAGTGTGAACTGCACAGCAGATACTCAGCTTAAGCCTATTATGTCATAAGAAATGTGAGCTTACTGTTAACATCCTAACCCTCTCTCTTTTTTTTTTTTTTTTGGATATGAGACAATATCTGATTTTATATGAAATCTCCCAATTATAAAATATCTATAACAAATCATTTTCCCAATACTGTACAGGCCAAAACAAAAAAATTTCAACAGTGGTCCTTATTCAGTTCATTTGCAAACACAGGTTTTGAATAAATATTGCTGACCGTAAGGAAGAATCAATTCAATCCAAGTCTCCGAAGAGTTTTGCTTTTTTAGAAGTACATGTTATATGCTGTCACATCTTTTAAAATTTTTATTTCACTCATTGAATTAACAGACTTTCTAATATTAAAAATGTATTACAAGGATATGATGAACAATACTAGAGTTTAATTTTGTTCACTAAAATTTAATTTGAGTTTTTTATTTATAATCAAATGTAATTCTTCTTAAACTTTCACATTTTTAATATTTGGTCTTGAGATATGTAAGTTTCATAAGATGAATTGAGGATCAGTAATATTCTGAAGTAGAATAGCTAGAAATTATCTGTTTCTTGAAAGTTTGAAGAAAGTTTACCTGGAAAATTATTTGGCAGAAAGTCTTTTGAATTATTTTGATTTTTTCCCAAGGTTATTGGTCTATTTATTATTGTGTCAATTTTGGCCACTTTTACTTTCCTTAAACAATATATCTTTCCATTTAACATCGAAGAATTTTCCACAAAATTCTCATAATTTTATGATCTCTTCTGTATCTGCTGGTACATATTTTTTCTTAATTCTAATGCCTTTCTTTTTTTTTTTTTAATTTATTTGCTGTTATTAAACTTCAAGTTGCTTAAATTTTATGTCACAAAGATGCAGGTTGCTACATATGTATACTTGTGCCATGTTGGTGTGCTGCACCCATCAACTCGTCATTTACATCAGGTATAACTCCCAGTGACTCCTCCCCCACCTCCCTCCACTCCCCATGATAGGCCCGGTGTGTGATGTTCCTTACAGTCAAGTGATCTCATTGTTCAGTTCCCGCCTATGAGTGAGAACATGCGGTGTTTGGTTTTCTGTTCTTGCAGTAGTTTGCTGAGAATGATGGTTTCCAGCTGCATCCATGTCCCTACAAAGGACACAACTCATCCTTTTTTATGGCTGCATAGTATTCCATGGTGTATATGTACTTTTTTTCTTAATCCAATCTGTCACTGACCAGTGGACCTTGCTGGGCTGATTCAAGTCTTGCTATTGTGAATAATTGCTGCAATAAACATGCGTGTGCATGTGTCTTTATAGCAGCATAATTTGCATCCTTACAGGTATATACCCAGTAATGGGATAAGCTGGGTCATATGGTACATCTGATTCTGAATCCTTGAGGAATCTAGCCATACTGTTTTCCATAATGGTTGAACTAGTTTACACTCCCCCCAACAGTGTAAAAGTGTTCCTATTTCTCCACATCCTCTCCAGCACCTGTTTCCTGACTTTTGAATGATCGCCATTCTAACTGGTGTGAGATGGTATCTCATTGTGGTTTTGATTTTGCATTTCTCTGATGGCCAGTGATGATGAGCATTTTTCATGTGTCTGTTGGCTGTATGAATGTCTTCTTTTTTTTTGAGAAATGTCTGTTCATATCCTTTGCCCACTTTTTGATGGGGTTGTTTGTTTTTTCTTGTAAATTTGTTTGAGTTCTTTGTAGGTTCTGGATATTAGCCCTTTGTCAGATGAGTAGGTGCAAAAATTTTCTCATTCATAGGTTGCCTGTTCACTCTGATGGTAGTTTCTTTTGCTGTGCAAGCTCTTTAGTTTAATGAGATCCCAGTTGTCAATTTTGGCTTTTGCTGCCGTTGCTTTTGGTGTTTTAGACATGAAGTCTTTGCCCATGCCTATGTCCTGAATGGTACTACCTAGGTTTTCCTCTAGGATTTTAACACAGTGTGGTCACAACATTTAGTCTCTAATCCATCTTGAATTAATTTTTCGTATAAGGAGTAAGGAAAGGATCCAGTTTCAGCTTTCTACTTATGGCTAGCCAATTTTCCCAGCACCATTTATTAAAAAGGGAATCCTTTCCCCATTTCTTGTTCTCTCAGGTTTGTCAAAGATCAGATGGCTGTAGATGTGTGAGTATATTATTTCTGGGGACTCTGTTCTGTTCCATTGATCCTATATCTCTGTTTTGGTACCAGTACCATGCTATTTTTGTTACTGTAGCCTTGTAGTATAGTTTGAAGTCAGGTAGCGTGATGCCTCTGGCTTTGTTCTTTTGACTTAGGATTGTCTTGGAGATGCGGGCTCTTTTTTGGTTCCATATGAACTTTAAAGCAGTTTTCCAATT